CTCCACAATTTAATTTGGCCATCGCTACATCCGGGTGAACAACTACCTGTCTGGAAATTTTGATGCAATCATGCACTCATCGCGCTTCTCGATTGAAACCAAGGCTCGACCGAAGGGAGTTCCATTCAGAGGGATTCATTCATGAAGCCCAGCTAGCCATTGATGGCTGAGGCACAAGTGCGTTTAGATAGCAGACCAATTCTGGAGGTTGCCTGCCTCTTGGTGAGTCTTAAAGGGTAGATACTGTTCGGGCTGGCATTTCGCAGATGGAACGGCAGGTAAATTAGGATCAGGCTGCAGTGCAGAGTACCTCCACCGTCAAATAAAGGGCACACTCCATGTGGCTTTTCTAGGCCTGTAAACATCGGTCGGTGTAGCTTTTCCATTACTCCTCTGCAGCACCATGCCAAAGAGCAGCCCGCCTCTCTATTTGCTTCGTAAACTGTAGGGCATGAGGACAAAAGGAGGCATACGATCTTACCTCACTGATTAATCTGATATAGTCTAAGAAAAGACTTGTCTTACGGTGGGTCAATCGATTTGGGCAAGAAGATTAGATTTGGACCAATTCCATACCTGTTATGGCTAGTGTGTCTCTTCCGGCAGTGGTTATAACAGGAACGAGGAGGGGGCCGTAGAAGACAACTAACCAACCCAAGGTACGATTCTTGCCGGCTCAGACACAGCCTTCTCTTTGTTTTGCGGCCTTGCATCCATCTTCCATCCTTTCAACTCACTTTTCCCGTTGTAGTCCTTCCCATCATTACTCAACTTTAAAAAGCTCCGATAAATGTCAACGTTAGATCTCTCTCTCTCTCTCTCTCTCTCTCTCTCTCTCTAACTTGTGGTCTTCAAATACCATTCTTCTTTGCCATGCTTTGATTGCTCTCCTTCGGGTTTATTTTTTGGTCGTCGCATCGGTTCTGGGAAATTGCTCGGCACTGGTTGCCTTCTTTCGTTGGTGGCTGAATCAGAGTCGGAGAACAGAAGCCAAACCTGGATCCTTTTCCTTTTGATGTCCACATCTTTTGTTTACCTGTTTGTGGTAGTATAAGTTCGCGCATGACTTGGATCCTTTTCCTTTTGATGTCCGTATCTTTGGTTTAGCTCTTTGTGGTAGTATGAGTTCGCGCATGCCATTGTTCAAATCTTCTGCTCGCTGTTGCTTTTCTTGCGAGTCCCGAGTGCTGCTTTCTCTGGGAACGTCGGTCTGGCTTCCATCGACGTGAAATTATTGCGCTTCACGCTGTCAAAATCTCTACGTTTCCTTGGTTGAGTCATCGGAGATCTTCCTTGTTGATTTGCATCTTTTGGTTTCTCCCTCTTCGATTAGTTCGGCCCTGCGTTCGTTCCTGTAAAGCCTATATACATCCAGCCGAATAGTATCGCCTTGAGTTGGTCTCGGAATCGGCAATGAGGAAGAGCGATTCTCGGTTGGCTTTTCTCCTCCTCCATCTCCTCATCTTCCATTCGTTATCCGAACCAGAAAGCGCCATTGCTCCGATGGAGAAGACAGAGCGGGATGCCCTGTATCGGGTGATCCAAGGCTTCGTCGGCAGATCCTGGAATGGCTCAGATCTTTATCCAGATCCCTGCGGCTGGACACAAATACAGGTTCTATCCAGAGATCGACTGTTTAATGCTTTGTTTATGCTTAGTTAACTGATGTGTGCAGTTTATCTCACCTTTGAAGTTTTCATCTTTTCTGTTCTTCCGCTAGAAGTTAAATTTAGTTATTTTCTCTCTTAAAATTCTTAATCGGAGGTAGCAGAACTTCATCTTTGAATCGCAAAAAACATGTTCGGCATGGCATTATACTACGAACACACATTTTAGTTGATACCTAAATGAGTTGCGGAGTATCCCACTTCTTATTATTAGCTTCATGCCATGGATAAGAGCACTCTTCAGCTATGAACTTGGAGGAAGAACACAGCCTTCGCATATTTGATCCATAAAATTCTCAAATGCAGGGGGTGTCGTGCGATCTTTTTGATGGTTTATGGTATGTTACAGCCATAAGCATCGGACCTATCCTTGATAATTCCCTCGAATGCGCGGAGGACGCAGAGTTCAGTCCACTGGTTTTTCAGCTCAAGCATCTCAAAAGCCTCTCCATCTTTAGCTGCTTCTCTTCTCGTCGACAAACAATCATACCAACGAGCAACTGGGAGAATCTTGCCGAAAACTTGGAAACCCTGGAGTTGCGCTCGAATCGAGGCTACGTTGGAGAAATCCCAGCCGACCTCGGTCAGCTTCGGAATCTGCAGTCCCTGGTGCTGGTCGAGAACTCCCTTGTTGGGAAGCTGCCAATGGAACTTGGCAATCTAATCCACCTGAAGAGGCTAATGCTGTCGGGGAATCAGTTGTCCGGGACAATTCCAGCTTCACTTTGCAACAATCTGGCTGAGCTGTTGATCTTGGACCTCAGCAGGAACTCTCTCACGGGTTCTCTCCCTTCTTCTCTCTGCAACGCTAGGTCACTGCTGAAGCTGGATCTCAGCAATAACCAATTACACGGAAGCCTTCCACCGGAGCTCGGAAATCTCAGGCACCTCACGCTACTGGACCTCAGGAACAACAGCTTATCTGGTGCTTCGTCGAAATCTCTCCTTGGCACGGAGTCGATTCAGGACTTGCTTCTGTCTTACAACCCATGGGGTGGGAGTATCGTGGAATTCGATTGGGAGAACCTGAGGAACCTTACCACCCTGGACCTTTCTCATATGGGCTTGACTGGGACGATTCCTGAAGCTATTGCGAGCTTGAAGAGACTGAGATACCTTGCATTGGATAACAACCACCTCTCCGGCAGTGTCTTTTCTGAATTAGCAGCTCTGCCTTCTCTTAATGCTCTCTATCTCAATGGCAACAATTTGACAGGAGAGCTTCGGTTCCCCGAGAGGTTCTATCGGAGGATGGGAAAGAAATTTGCTTCATGGGACAACCCAAATCTCTGTTACAATGCTGTGGGCGTGGCCACGGGAAATGTTCCTCATGGTGTGGCACAATGCAAGCAGGACCGAGAGCCTTCGACCTATGATGACTCCATTTCCAACGGAAGGGTAGACAATGGGAATCTCGACAAGAATTCTGGTCCGGTGCCCTGCTATTGGCTTCCTGCTCTGCCTTCTTCGATTAGTGGTTTTTGGTTGGGAATCCTTACTCAGGAAGTGGTGATCATCATGTTTCTTTTGATCATGCTCTTGTAAATTTCCAAACCTGCGTAGGTAGATAGTTCTCTATACGTCAATTTTTCTTCTTCTTTTAAACTACTTGTAATCAAGCAGAATGTTGGAATAGTTATCTAACTACTGTCCTTTATCAGTTTCTATCTGTTAAAAGACGCTTATGAACACCTTCAAGAAGATCGCAGAAAGGGATATTGAAATTTTTTTTCTAGCAATACATAGATTATGACTTGGGTGAATTTTCAGAAAATAATTCATAACACATCCTAATTTTTTAAAATTTCTTAAGAGAATCCTCTTTTTTTTTTTTTTAAATGACCATCCTCATTTCTAAAGAGCGCCGCTCTCCTCCTTATCAACTATCCCTCTTCACCTCATTGATCGTCTCTTCCTTAGTTGTGTTTGTGTCTCTGTGCATATATCCTTCTTTATGTGCACGATGCTCTTAACGTTTGATAAGGATAATTAGAATTGATGTGAACGCTCATAGTGATTCTGAGTTCGATGAGAGCATAGGGGCGATGACGTAGACAATAATGAATCCAACGAAAATAGGGATAAAATGTTCTGATCAAAAATATTTTAAGAGAATTTTTTATAATTAAAACAGTATGTAAAAATTTCGCTCTTTATACTTTTGGAGGCCGACAGATTTTTTACGATGAAAAAAATCCTTTAAAAAGTGATACAGGGAAGCATCCTTTTCCAGATAGATGTTAACAGGATCTGCCATGGCACAACCAACAGTCGGACAAGACGTTCGCATACAGAACACCACCTTGGAACATTTCAGAAGTGGCTACAGAGCTGCATTCCATGCTGGTCCGAAGCATGTCATCAATGCCCGACGCTAAATCAACAAATGCGCTACTTTTGCAGCGCCACTTTTTCTGTTGTCAGATCAAGCTTCTGAAACAGGCATCCAATCCCACATCCGAAATCCGCTGCCACTGACGCACACAGTCGACCAGAAGATACGTTCTATCATGAATCTTCGTATCCGCACAGTAGATGGCGGATTCCAAGAATTTTTACTCGGAGGCCGGTGGTTCTGTGGACCATTTACCTGATTGCCTTCCTCAGAGGAGTTCTGACCCTATCGAGCCCGCAGGAGCGCTCTGTTACCGTGGAGCAGAGCCTACGACTCAGATACCCTAGTTTTAGGCTCTGTGTTTCGCAGCCCTGCGGCCATCGTACCACAGTCTAATGATGATTGAGGACGGCATCATCCTGCGGTTGCTGCATATTTAATGTCACTTCATGCCGGTGTTTCATCGTCGATCGCCAGCTTTTCTTCGTAGGTTGCGCTGGTATCAATCTCCATCGCCGGTTGATTCGGCTTTTGTTCGACTGGTGGCCGGCAGTGAAGATTGATGTGCACGCAGTGGCATTTACGTAAAAGGATTAGTCGATTTGATGGGGCATTTGCAGTCCTTTAGCAGTCTCATCATGTGATTTGACATTCGTGTTTGGATTGATTGCAACGAGGAGAACAAATGCGGCAGTCCCCGAAGGGATATGTATCCCTTCGGCCCAAATGCGGTGTCGACGTGTTTCTCAATTGGGCCCATTATTAGGCCCAGTAAAGAAGCAATCCAGAAAATGTCGCATCCCCAAAAATGAAGCCCTGTAGACGCGAATGTATGTCAAAGTAGTAATAGAGGACAGAGAAAAATTTACATTTAAGGACATATATTTGAAATATTTTTTTAGGATATGAAATTGAAAGTATATTTATGCAAGAAGCCAATTAGGGACTTTCCAATAAAATCGAGTAAAGAGAGGGGCCAAACCCTAATTGGACGATCGGATCCCCGTCCTTTTTCTTTAAACCCCTCCCTTCCCCAGCGCAACAAAAACCCTAATCTTTTGGATATCAGGTCGCCGCTGACGGCGCGGGGAGAGATGGTTCGGCCGTACGGCGTGAAGGGGCGAAAGCTCAAGAAGCGAAAGGTGGAAGAACCGGCGCCAGTTGAGGAGGAGGAGGAGGAGGTGCTCTCCGACGAGGGAGAAGGCGTCGGCGTTGAAGAGGAGACCGGAAATGGAGGGGAGATTGCGGAGACCGAGGACGAGAAGAGGGCGGAGGAGGCCGTTAACGAGATGCCCGGCATCCCGATCACCGCGCCGGTCGATAAAACGAAGCGGCCGGGGGTCGTATTCGTCCTCGAGAAGGCGTGTTTGGAGGTCGGCAAGGTCGGGAAGGTAAGCCGGAGTCACTCAAGAGTTTCGAATCGAGGGTTTGGGAGTAGGGTTTTCTCTGCTGTGGTTGCGTTGAAACCGTGGTTTTGATGGAATCTGTAGTCCATGTTCGTAAAGTATTTGATCGTACCTAGTCTCAGGTAGGCAATTCGTGGTCCGGAGTTGGAAAGACTTGTGGGGAAAAAAGTTGTCTTGGATAAAATTTTGTTTCATATAGGTAATTTGGGTTCTATTTTTTGCATTCTTTGGCAGACTTACCGTTCTTGAGGTAGATCAATATCCTTACAGGTGATTTCTAGGTTCAAGTAGGCATTTTGACCGTCTAAAGGGTACTGGGTAGGACCTAATGTCTGAAAATTTTAGAAGGCAAATCAAACTGCTTATACAGGGCTATTTGTGGTCAAGTTAGTGTTTTCTTGTCGGAATCTTGGATTTCATTTTGAGAAACATGGTTTCTGGTCCCGTTAGAGGATTTGAGAAGTGAAAAGGAGTCTCTTTTTGTGCATCTTCCCTTGTATCGAGTGGGCTATGCACCTCTTTTCTCTCCTTCCTGTTGGTGGTTCCTTGGGTGTGGAAATTATAAACTTGTCTTTCTCTGTATTCAGAATTTCCAGATCCTGAACTCGGATGATCATGCAAATTACCTAAAGAAGCAGAATAGGAATCCTGCCGATTATCGGCCTGACATTATTCATCAGGTACGTCAATTTATTTGCCAGCTCCCTATGTATTACGATTTTCCGTCTGTTTCGCAATTCTCATTATATAGTTGTGAATGTCTTGGTTGTCTTTTTTTTTTATAATTTGGCAATCTTGCTTGTGTTTGGAAGAGTGGCCTATCCTTGTCAAATTGCAGTATATAAATTATGCTTCATTAGATACTCCAAGAATTGTGTGATCTTCGACATTCAATAGCTGAGAAGTTTTAATGATCATGAGATGCCCATCTGCTTCATTTTATTTGTTTTGAATGCTCAGGTTCATACTTCTGCATTGAAAAGTTCACTCCCAATTTTTGGGGAAAGTTTTGCAGCTCTACTAACATATAGACATTTACATGTCAACTGATGCAATAGGCACTTCTTGCAATATTTGATAGCCCCCTAGCCAAGGCTGGTAGACTGCAGGCTGTCTATGTAAAAACAGAAAAAGGAGTGCTTTTTGAAATTAAACCATATGTCCGCATTCCAAGGACTTTCAAGCGATTCTGCGGTCTTATGTGTAAGTACAATAGATCTGCAATTATTTTCCTCTCAGGTGTTGTACATTTGGATTTCAGTAAATTAACCTGTGGAAGTTGCCACATCTGATCTGTGAATGCTGTAGCACAATTGTTACAAAAGTTAAGCATAACTGCTGTTGGCAAGCGGGAGAAGCTTCTTAATGTAATAAAGAACCCTGTAACTCGCCACCTGCCTGTCAATTCCAGGAAAATAGGTGATACTTTATATTTTGATTTTATTTGAAACAAACTTTACGAATGATCACTTCTTTTAATTTTTGAAGTCTGTTCTTTGTAGGTCTCTCATACAGTTCAGAAAAGTTGGCTAACTTGTGTAATTATGTTGCTGCTGCTAGCGACGACGCTACCCTTGTTTTTGTGGTATCTTTGAAATATGAGTCTATTTTCTTATTCATTGAACTCTAACAATATTATAAATGATACACAACATTCCATTTTTCCATTTTTTAGGTCGGTGCAATGGCACATGGAGTGATCGATAAGGAATACATTGATGATTTTATATCAAGTAAGCTTCCAGTCAATCAACAGGCAGTTCGCAACAACTATGTAGATTGTTGATGCTTTAGTGCTTTATGATATAATGCTGTTCTGTCTTTATAGAAGGATAATGATATTGTCTCATCTAACAGGTATCTACTTGATGTAGTGTCTTGCAGACAGCCAATTAATTGCATGAACCCTACAAATATCCATCTTTGCATGTAGTTTTATATGATTTTGAAAATGTTTAAATATGAGCCATTCTTCGCAGATGCTCATATGATATCTCGATCGACACTTGGTTGCTTTTCAGAACATTATATTAAAAAAAATCAGGAACACATGAATTGGTTGCTTTTCAGAACATTATATTAAAAAAAATCAGGAACACATGATTTTTATGATTAGAAACATGTGTCGGTGCCGAGGAACAGGATCTGCTAGCTAATGGCTGGTTTCTTTGGCTTTTGCAGTTTCAGAATACCCTCTCAGCGCAGCATGCTGCTTAAACAGGATTTGCAGTGCCTTTGAGCAGAAATGGAGGATCACATGAACGTTTCTTCCGGTGACTAAGCTGGCAATTGCTGAAAGTAATCAGCCATCAGTCTGTTTGCTTTGAGCTTATTGTTCTCACAAATCAGTTCTTGCAACTGAGGCCCCTGTAGAAGTGTGTTGCCAAGCTGATGGGCTGGAAACTCGACACACTGTTAAATTCTGACTGTAACTGACGATCAGATATTCTTTTACCATTGAACTGGAACTCGGAAAAATATATACTCTTTGGATGCGTGTTGTATCATGGTTGTCATATATTTACCTCCTTGTCTCTCTTTTGCTGCCAATGTGATCACCATCCTATAGCAGGCAACAGAAGAGAAGTTATGGAGAACATTATCCTGTCACAGTTTGGGAGCAGCACGTTTTTATTATGGAGAACATTAATGGAAAGCTAATGACAATTGTGTATATTGCACCGACACAAGCAACTCCTAACCACCGGCGATCGATCGTACAAAAGAAAGCCAGCCCGTTGGAAACGCTACAAGCAAAACATTACGGAGAAGATGTTATGCATCCTCGTAAATAACTTTATAGGGTGGTTTGGCACTGGCAGACATGATTGCGGTGGTGACTCCGGCTTCGTTTTCTTCTTCCTTCTGAGTTGGAAGAATTGTTGCAGTACATCGGAGCACTCGGTTGCAAGCACCCCACGCCTTATTCTTATGTTCGGGTGGAAGGGATGAACAGGACCGGCCATTTGGCTTGATGGATCTAAGCTACTGCTTCCTCCATTATCACCAGGAAATAGCCTGTATAAGAAGAATTAGAGTAAACCGTGATGATTATGATTCATGAGAGAGCCTTCTCTCGATGAATCAGCACACTGTCACATGCCCAGTTTAAAATAAGCCAAATACAACAAGAACAACTTAGAAAATCTTGATTCATGGTGATTTAGTTTCTCTGTAGAAACTCTACATGATTTCAGATCAACACCTAAATGCGACATCATACCAGACATAACTGCAAGTAACAGCTCGTCGATATGGTATCATGAGACCAAGCGATCAACAATGTTATTTAGAATACCCAGACGGTGCGGAGTTGACAAACAGTTAGCTGGTAACATAATTAATATTGAAAAGAGACTTGCAGCTTGGATTCGATACATGATGAATCCAATAAATAGCATATAGTTGAATTAGGAAATGCAACAATGCAGGTAGGAAAAATCATTTGCTTAATCGATAGACGGAAACCTAAGCGTGAACCAACCACAGCCCTGGACCTCTTCCTTCTTACATCCTGCATATCAAGCTGTTCTTTCAATTATTTGTGGGTTTCCTCAGATACAACTGGATGTTAACATGTAGGCCTGCCGTGATTCCCTCCAGCCCCAGAGTGATAGGCCCACTTCATTTCTAATCCAAAACCAACAAGATCTGCATTCTTATCAATGTCTTAATGGTAACTGGAACCTTGAATCCTAATACGGATCCAAATCAAATTCTTCGACTGCATCATACTATGCGGACCTACAATCGATCCAAAGCATGAAATAGGATCCACAATCCACTATATACCTGCGACTTCTGATAAATTATTATGGGGTTTATACCACAGCACCCTTCCAAAGTTCTATATTTTTCTGTATAACCCCCCGCAAAAATGTAAGATGTCCATAAAGCTCCATCCCACTCCGACTGGGTGCGACCACCACAGAAATTGATGTAAGCAATAGGTGGGGCCCCACCCGATATTAGAATTGAGGGAGGGGATATTTTGTAAAGGTGACCTCCCAAAAATCAATGCTACTGGGTTGTTGAGGAGAAGCAACCTACTGGGTTCTTAATGTCTATAGGTATATGCAGACAGTTCACACTTTTACAAGGTAGATGGACAGATATGAAAGTTTAGAAGAGTACACAGCAAGAATTTCTTCTATTAAAATAAGACAAAGGTGAACAAGATATTAATGCAAAAGGAAATCCTGGTCAAACTGTCCGTAGTCTTGCAAAAAGGTGTGGACAGAAGTCATGTGATTGGATTACAGGTTATATGTTGATCAGAATTTTCCATTCACACCGTGTTCTTGATATCATAATAAGCATGATGAGTGACGATTATAACCTCAGTTGGCCCCATGCATGTAGAGAAGAGAGAAGACATATTTACAAAGCAAAATAGTAGGTAAATATTCGAACATGTATCATGAAAATCAATAAAGCATGATGTATTGGAAAAATATCAGTTCAACTTGCATTTGAGCATATAAACGAGAAGATACCAATATGTTATCTAGTTAAAAAAAATGGGTAAATATTCTAACAAGTACCTGATCCAGCTGCCATCAGCTCCTAGTAGTTTGTTGGGAGCTCCCCATACCACAGTATCAACTCTAGCCTGGAGGATTGCTCCAGCACACATGGGGCAAGGCTCAAGTGTCACATAAAGTGTTGTTTCCTGCAGCACATTTTCAAAATGATAATTAACTGAAGTGTAAAACATGTGCCAGTATTCCTGGTGAAAATTACAGAAACCATGTTCACAAATCAAAAATGGCGTCCAATTAATATGTGGCTTAGAAAACTATATGAGCTTTTGGCTCATTTGCTTATGACCTCAGGAATCAGCAGTTCAAAAGGATTGTCTATTCATTAGGCATGCATCAATCCCCTAAGGTTCCGTCTTAACTACCAAAAAGAGAAGTGTGTAACAGCCTAGCTGTTGTGTTCCTCATGGTTTGCACCTCCTGATATCATCACCTACTTGGCACCATAATTAGTGATGAGGTCGCTTCTTTTTTCTTCATGATCCAAAACTAGTGCAAGAAATTGTCAAATTACTTCATCGAACCAGCTTTCCACAAATCTATCAAGTACTTCAGATCTTTCCTTTTCAACTACCTTCAGAAAGTTCTAAATTGACTAAGAATACTGTGAAGAAATACGTTTGGCACCATTAATGCCATTAATGTTGAAGATTGCTAGGTTCAACTTTTATGCTTAGCTAGTATCATATTTTCTTCTTTTAGTACACATTTCAATAAATTTGTGCTGATCAAATTTCTACCTTTTCATTGATCTTATTACAGCTAAACTACTAAGAGCATGCTTCAGATGCAAATGGTTCATGATCGAATTGAAACCAATGAATCTTTATGCACAACAAACCTATACCAAATCCATCCATAAAATTCTTCCAAAACATGGAAGAAAAAAAGTGTAAGTCGAAACTTGAAAGAATACTATTTCATAATGGTCCACAAAAGGTACACAACCTAGGGAACTGACACAAAAATCAAATCTCATACAATATATAAGACTTGTTCATCTTTAATATCCATAACAAACAATCTGCACTAACAAACAAAAGTAACACTATAACAAGCTCTGCAGGGCAAGAAAGATTACTGCAAGGCGCCAGGTCCGAAGAAGATTAGATGCTTCGCGAATACAAATCATTTCAGCATGTGCAGTTGAATCACGCCTTTCTTCCACTCTGTGAATACATTCCGAGTTATGTTTATGCAGTGATTCTTCTAATGCAGGATCAAGTAAAGTTATACTTACAGATTGAAGCCCCGAGCAATTATCTTTCCGTTCTGCACTAATACAGCCCCAACTGGTACCTCCCAGATGTCTGCAGCTTTCTGAGCTTCCACTAGAGCTTCCCTCATAAAATACTCATCGATTTTTCTCTGTTCACTTTCAAACCTGTATGCTTCTTCCCACTCCTCAAATGTTTCTTTTAGTACTTGTTTGTTCCTTTGAAGTTTCCTCCTTTTTAACTCCCCATCCTTCCCTTCAGTCTTGTCAGCTTCAGGTGGTTCCTCTCTCAATAGATCTTCTTCAAAATTCGTGTCGCCAGATACAGGTACTGTAAGATTTCCTGTATAAGTTATTCCTTCATCAATGGCAACTGAAGATGCATCACCAATCATCAATGATGGTTTGTAGCCAGATATAGGTACTGTAAGATTTCCTGTATAAGTTATTCCTTCATCAATGGCAACTGAAGATGCATCACCGGTCATCAATGATGGTTTGTCAACTGTTATTGCACGAGAAATTATACTTTTGGTTCCCTTTTCATTCTCAACCAATGTTGACTGTTCTGGCCTTGAATTAGCAGAAGCACCTTTTGATGCATAACCTCTTGCAGTTGCCATCGAGGTGGATGCACCACCTCCCAACTGCATGACAACAACATCTGGTGCCTGAAAACATCCTTGAGTAATACTAGAATGTGTCTCATCGCCTCGATCTACAGGGGCTGCAACTGGCAATAACTCCTTTATTTCACTGCTTCTTGCATTAGGATCATTCTCATCATCACTAGCATCTTGACCAGAAAACCAAGCCTCACTGCCTTCAGAGGAGCTTCTCTTGCCTGATTTCCGATTTGAAGTATGAGATTCAGCACGGTGAACCCAACCCATTCTCATTATATCTGCTATGTGAGCCCACAATGACTTGGGGGATCTTCCAGCAATGGTATTTTCGACAGTAGGGGTAGTGGTTGTAGAATCTATAACTCCAGCAGATAAACCATGTTCCCCCTGTTCTTCTTTCCTACCATCTTTTTGAGAAATCAGGCTCCTAACATCCCACATCTCATCTGATGGCCCTCTAATTCCAGACCTAGAAGATCTCCCTGAACCTTCTTGTATATATTTTTCATCCTTTTCTGTTATTGTGGCAACAAGTCTATCAGACTGCATGGATGTAGTTGCTTGAATGCCTTTACCATGTGCTTTTTCTGTCCGAGTTCCAGAAGATATAAAAGTTGATGACTCGTGCCTTAGCTTGTCCACAAACTCACCAACATACATCGCAGAAGAGCTCTCTAATCTACTAGCAGAATCCAGTGTATCACTTTTGACTACGTAGTTCTCATCTCTGCAGGCTGGATCATCTGGTTGTTGCATATGTGTGTCAAGAAAGCTGGAATCACCATCAAAAGCCCCAAGAGAAGTGATTTCTTGATTTATCAGCTGTGAACTCTCTCCGGTTAGAGTGCCAAGTTTCTTTTTATCATCCTGCACCATCAACAATGAAGATCTCTCTTTACTGTTTCTGATTCTCATATTAGATATATTCTGCGAATTAAAGTTCCTTTGGATGTCAGTCACTGCATTCTCAGACATTCTAGCATCTGTTTCACATTCTCTTCTCGAACTATACTGACAATTGTTGAGCTCATTTTGTATGTCTGCATTGTACATGACTTGGGCAGTGGAAACCTTTCCACTATCTTTCCTTGGCAACTCAGAAGTACACATGGCCTTTTCAGATTCTCTTTTTGGACTATATTGATAAGTATATTGACTTTCTGATTGTGTTTGGTGCTTCTCCACTTGATGAATTGGATTCATAATTGAAGTAGAATAGTCTACTCGATCATTTATTCTCGATCGCAGAAGGCTCTGAGAGCTGCTGGCACTCTCAGTTCCCCTTACATGGGGTCTAGAAACATCAACTTGATTTTCATACTGCTTACCAAGTTCCATTTTATCAATAATCTGTTGGCCAATGTGGCCTCTGTTATCTCTAGCCATGTGAACTGAAATTGATTTATCATCTCTGTTCTTCACCAGCACTTCCTCGTGTTGCTTTTCATTATTTGAGACGTTCTGGATGTTGCTATTATGGACCTCTTCTATCTGTCTAAAATTTTGTAATTGTTCTCTTGATTCATAGCTTCTAACTGCTTGCTGATCTATTGCAGTATGCTTCTTCATGATTGATGTAGAAGAATGTTCCTTGTCCACCTTCCTCGTGTCAAGCATGCTCTCAGCACTGGCGATCCTCCCTGCATTGTCCTCATGCACCTCAGGTATTCTCCTAAATCTTTGAGATCCTTCTATCGCTTCCCTTTGCACGGCAACCTGATTCTCATTATTAACATATTCGTCACCGACTTCAGTTCTCGATTCAGACTTTTGTGATCCTTCCCTGGACTCCCTCCCAATAATGTTTTGCCTTCCAAGGTAATATTCATCCCTCCTTCCATGAGCCAAAAAACTGCATGAAGCGCCTCTTTGCATTCTTTTGTCAACTTCCTGTTTATCTTGTTCAACGACTTGCTTGTCTCTGTCCACCTTCCTTAGATCAGCCATATTAATAAAACTGGAAGCCACATCCACATTGTCATCTACCTTAACAATTTTTGCAAACTTTCGGGAACCTTCCCTTGAGTCTCTCTTCTTGACCTCGTCTTCCACTTTAAAATGGTGATCTTCTTTTTCTTGATAGGCTGAAGCAATTGATTTGGCCGCCCTACCCTCAGTCTTCCTATCAGAGACCCTTGCCGATGTTAAGTGCCTCACATTATAGTTCCTATCTCTATAATCTGATTCTTCTCTTGAATCATAATCAACATCATCCTCCAACTTCCAACCTTTTCGAACCTCTCTTACCGCTGCATTGACTTTCTTGCCAGTGTAACACTTGTTACCACCAGAGCTCAGCCCCCCACTCATCTTGTTCTCATGCCCAAACGAGGGGCAGACCGAGCTCGATGTATCTTTCCTTGCTCTCAAAGATCGTACCTTTTCACCATCATCCGACCTAATTTTAACCTCCCTCCTCGAATGCCTCCTCATATCGTCAAACTCAACGTAGTCCACGTCATCTTCCCACATCCCGTCATCGAAGCTTTCTCTGCAGCACTCACCGGCCATTTGAAACCTCGGTTGGGGGCTCCGACAGCAACAACAAGCCCTGCACCCTCCTCTCCTCGCTGGCACCCTGGGAGCGCACGGCTGAACATCGCGGAGGCTCAGCCGGAGGTAGTGGCGCCGACCATGACCGGCGAGAAAGGTTCTCAGATGCGACCAGTAGATCAAACTGGACTGCCTCGAGTAGTAGCCATAGAGCATGAATCTGGGGTTTATGGAGAGCCCATGGAGGGCGAATTCATCCCCTCCCCCATCGTCGAGGAGGGCAAGGCGGCGAGAGTGGCAAATGGAGGATTTTGCCCTCACAGCGAAGGTAGCGGCCTCGTAGCCGCCGTACATGGGGACTGGGACAGGAGGGGAAGAGAGAAGGGCATACCAGAAGGGCACGGCCGTTGGATGAAGATCCGACGACGGGCGATTGGCGGGGGTGCGGTCGCCACCTGAGAGCTGAGCCTGAGACGGGAGACGAGGGGTAACGATGGGAAAGGGTGACGCAGGTTTCGGTGGTCCGGCGGAACTACGATGCGAAGTGCAAAGGTGGTACGGGTAACAAAGCAATGTGTTCCTACGGGTTGGGTGTAGCAACGTGCTCGCGTCACCTGCCTAGTGACTCACTGGTGGGGCCACCCATGGATGGATCCAATGCAATACGGGTAGGAAAGTATTCCTCACGGAGATATGCAATACATATGACGTAAAAAGAGCCTTTGTATTGTTTTTAGTTTCAATTTTTATATTTATTAAAGAAAACTTCAATCCAATGGGAGGCGATAACGATGAACAATGACTATTGAGATGGATCATAAGCAGTCTGTGATGCATTTCTCCATTAAAATAAAATATACCTTGATACATTATTCATATTATTATTATTATTCACAATAAAAGACTTACATAATAATTAATATAACTACTGTGCAGCTAAATGAAGCCCAACCTGAGCTCCAGGGAACTTAGGCTGGGCTTCTTCTCCGTCTGGGTCGGGCCGAGGTTGACAAATGGCCCACCATCACTTCCAAAACTACTGATATCAAACATGTTATCCATTTTCTAAATAATAAAATATTTCTGTTATTTGATGGATAGATGGGATGGATTCAATCTGCACGCTGATCACATGATCTCGGATTCAAGTGAACGGCTACGTAGATCTCATTCGTATGCATCGGAGGAGGCAACCCTTATTAAATGCCTGTAAAATTAAACTAATAAAGAAAGACAGAGAAACTGTCTTATTTGTTTCTTTTATTCTAATATTTTTTTGGGTGTAGTAATAGAAATACCACATCTTCGGGTCTCGCATTCCACCAAACACGTGAACAGCACATGGGCGGATCCCTTATCCCGATAACGAATAATCAAGAGAATCCAAAACTGACCAACCCGAGATAGTTGACCGGTCAACGGATGATCAAATTTCCGATAGCCCCTAATCATCTCTTCAAATATATAAATATATAAATATATGTATATATGATTTTTATCATTTTTAAATTTTATTTTAAGAATAATTTTTTTGTCTCTTGTTGGAGAAAAAATGATCGAAACATCATGCATACTTTACACACACAATTTTGTCAATTTATGTCTTCTAAAGAAAGCCGTGTCTAATAAACATTCTAGAAACATTTGGTCGCGGACGTCAAATACTTGGGAAGCATTTGGTCGTGGTGGCTGACTCTACCAGCCACCAAAAGTCCACGAAGTAGACGGCGAAGTCACGCGTTTGAAAACGGACCGAACCTAATTGCAATCAGTGGATATAACTAATTCGATTTATTTATTTATTATCTTTTTTTTTTTGAAGAGTCGTGATCGAATTTGATCTTCCAACTATACGTATGGAAGGTGTTTTTGCACCTTTATATCATGGCGAGGTGTTGGTATGGTTTGATCATATCCAAAAAGCATAAGATCAGATGGATTTTTTTAGAAAAAACATATTGGAGAGAGCAAGTTCAGACAGGAGAGGCCAACTCCGAGGTTACGATCGAGCCGCTTCGAAGGTGTGGAATTGAATGGCGCTTAATCTATACGGAGATTCTACACGATATGTTAATGTCGAGAGGGGTTTTCAACTCAACCCCTCCAATGCTAGTGCATAATGCGGGGGAGACCAACTTTTACACCTGTGAAGCTAGTGGGAGGGAGCTGTGCATAATGCGGGTAGCTAAGCCGCACACTTCTTGTGGTGCGGGTCAACCCATCCTGGCCTTTGTAGCGTGGCACCAACTCGTGCAATCTCACGTGACGTGAAGCCGGTGATCGAAGGGGAACTACCTGCCAGGTTGACTCTACTCTGCGTTAGACGGATGTTGAGTTATCGTTCACATCCACTCTATGACTGTTGCGAGATAGTGACTTGTGACTAGTATTAAAATATTTCATATTAGAAGGTATTAGAAAAGGACATATTGAAGGGATCGATGGAAAAATATTATACTAATTTAATTTAAATTTATTAATTCTAAAAATCTTAATATGGGTATTTTCATTCATATTTTTGTATAATTAATTATATTTATTTAGTGTCCTTTCATTTTATTATTATTATTTTCTTTCCCATAAACCCCACTTGTGCATCAAATTATCATCGTTATCTCTTCCACTCTATTGCCTATCATATTGTTGACTCTTCTCATTGTCCATTACCGTTGATCATTGACCACAACCCATCCTTGCATCCTTCCCGAACAAGTGTTGCACCTATAATTTCATGAATGACTTAGTCCCGTCGACTACACCCTTTAGCTCTAATAGACACTATGCCCGTGCCTTCATGCGTAATCTAGCCTCATCGACCACTCTCCTTCACCCTGAACAAGCGTTATGTCTGCGCCTCCATGCATGGGCTGATCTCGATGGTCTCACCCCTCTATCCTAAACCAGCGTTGTGCTTGTGCCTTCGTGCGCATGGGCCTACCGACCCCTACGACAAACGATAGAGATAGTTAGGGTTGGTGTGGGTGTTTGTGATGTTCTTTACGAAGATATGAGTAAAATGATCTTTCATTCATGCGATTATTATGTGAATTTTTTTAAAATTGAAGTGCTATCTAAAAAATTCTCAAAGTTAAAAGATTTTTTTTCGAAAATTCGCTCAAAAATATAAAAAAAGGTAGTATGTAACAAATAGCAAAGCAACGAAAACGACTTTTGTTTCCCCCAAAGTCGTTGGGTCTTTTAGATAGGACATTAATCATGTGTTGCACGCACTCAGACTCCTCCTGGCATTCCTTTTCCCACTGGTTGACGCCCAAAGTAACTAAGCCAAATCCTCACCTATGAGTGGCCGTGTAAGTTTATGATTCCGCATCTTCCAGGAGGAGGCAGGCAAACAAATAAATGTCAACCGCACCTCTGTCCCATCCTCTCTACCACATGGCATCGTGACATCAATTCACTTTATTAGGGGCAATCGCATGTGAACCTTTGTGCAGTATCGACATTTCACTTGCTCGTAAAGCATGGTTTAGATTGTAAATTGTGGTGATTCCTTGTGGTCTTCTCGTGCACGCGTGACATCACATGTAGTGGATAAGGATTCCGGATCCCATGTTTAAAGTGTTGGGGATGTCCTAATCTCGTGTTTGTGGTGTGTGTGTGTGTTTTTTTTGTTGGGATGAAATTAAATACTTTTGATTTAATTGAATATATATATATATATATATATATATTATT